GACGCTCATCATCGTCGACAGGTCCTTCAACTAAACGACGAATATCCTCGACAACAACAACCACTCATGAGAAGAAAGTTCGTATCTTACCATAACTAAATGCTTAAATAGACATTCATTTCTCTAGAAAATTGTCAAACCGATGGGAGTATGTAGTTTTTGTTTGGGCGATGAAGATAAAAATGCCCAAGGTATCCCTGAAGATATGATCAGTTGTGCTGAATGTGGAAATTGCGGTACGTTGCAATTGATTGCTTCAATGAGAACACAATTAGAAAAGAAACGAACGTGTTCTCTTCGTTCTTTTTTTCTAGGACATCCTTCATGTTTGAAATATTCGGACCGACTAATTGAAAAAATCAAAACACTTCAGTGGCAATGTTTGGATTGTAAAAAGTGCATTGTCTGTCATAAAGGAGATGATTCAGTAAGAATATGGATTTTATTATCTTTTGTATTCAATTTTCTATTCATTAGCTACTTTTCTGTGATTTATGCGATGCAGCTATTCATCCGAAATGTTGTACACCACCGTTGAACCATGTACCTAAAGGTGAATTTGCTTGCGCTAATTGTCGTCAAGACGGAACAGTTAAAGCAGCTAAACAGAAGTCATTGAAGAAAACTGCATCGAAACGTTCTCTTCGAAGTCAGAACTCGAGCGAAGAAGATAGTCCTCCAGTGATCACACGTCCTGTCGCACAGCTCATCGATGGCATGTCCAATTTCTTCTTACCAAAAAAAGATAAAATGAATAATATCCAGCGACAACAATCGATTCAGAAAGCAATGAAATATTTACGTAATAAACCCTCGAATTCGAAAGCACTCAAACGACTTCAAACAATTCCTTTGACAAAAAAGAAAAGTCAATCGCTGGCAAGAAGCATCTTAGCATCATCAAAAATACCACGAATACGACGAAAACCATTGAATTTAACTGATGATTCATCTTCAAAGTAGTTGCTCTTCCTTTTCCGAGAAATTGTATTCTAGGCTTAATATGTAGCTCCCAAACCAATCCACCTACATCTGTGCGACGTTCAGGAACTAAAAAGTCACTTACTTCTGAGCCAGAAACGGCATCTTCTCGATCTATTCGTCGATCGGGTACACATGCGAGTGAAGACTCGATTAAAGCGAATGCATCTCGATTATCGAAGAAACGAAAACATTCGATATCACCCACACCATCAACACCAGTGGGAACAAAAAAACGAACAAAGGACACTTCTTCGATAAAAAAATCGCCTTCAAAACGCAAAGAAGTCAAAGTGGAAGAAACCGAGTCGGCAAACGAAGATACTGATGATGAACAAAAGGCAACAGTTTCAAAACGAAAACTAAATTTAGATCTATCAAGTAAATTCCCTTCAACGAATCTTTTCAATAACTTATGATTCATTCTGTTTAGAATATACAACACCTCCAGGATTTCTTAACGATTCACTTCCCGATACAATCGTCGCTCACGATGTCTACCTATTTCTTGATGCACGCAAGAATTCAACAAAACTCATCTCTGATGTATGTGCAATGCTTGGCGAGTACCTCTCCCTGTTTTAATGCGAATTTTTTCTAGTGTTCGGAACAATATCGTCATTCAACAGAAGCCGTTGAAGATGATGTCAATAACACACGTTGGCCGCCTTATATAGTGTTCGGTACTGAATTAATCAAAACATGGTATTCATCATCGTATCCTCAAGAATATGCGCGTGTTCCACGTCTATTCATCTGTGAATTCTGTTTGAAATATATGAAATGTGAACAAGTCTACGATCGACATCGTGTACGTTATATGAAAAGAACTCTTTCTATAATGAAACTGATGTTTTGATTCATTTCAGAAAAAATGTCAAACATTTCATCCTCCAGCGAATGAAATCTATCATAAAGATGATCTGTCGGTGTTCGAAGTCGACGGAAATATCAATCGTATTTATTGTCAAAATTTATGTCTTTTAGCCAAATTATTTCTCGATCACAAGACGCTTTACTATGACGTCGAACCATTCCTTTTTTATGTTTTAACCAAGAATGATTCCAATGGTTGTCATTTTCTCGGTTACTTCTCCAAAGAAAAACACTGTCCACAAAAATATAATCTCTCCTGTATTACCGTTTTACCACACTGTCAACGTCGAGGCTACGGACGTTTTTTAATTGAATTAAGTTATTTACTATCACAAAAAGAGAATCAGATTGGAACACCTGAAAGACCACTATCAACCCATGGTGCGCAAACGTACGAAGCATATTGGAAAGTCAAAATCGTTCAGCAACTGTTAAACTACTATCACAAGGAGTATACGAAATGTACGATTAAAAACTTAATGAATGAAACGGGAATGGCACCGGATGATATACTTGACACGTTACAAAATTTAGGTTGTTTAACGATGTACTCAAATGAAAAGTGAGTTACAGGATGAGCTTCATTGAATGAGAGCTTGTGTTGTTGCTGTCTTTAGACCAGTCATTCATGTTGATATTATAAAAATAGAACAGATCATGAGAACGGAAAAGAGCAAACACGCACATTGGGTGTCACTCGACGGCGAATTTCTCCGCTTTACACCTGTTCTCAAACCAATTCTATTAATCAATGATGAGAATTCTTATGAAAATCAAACGAAAATGATTGAAGTCGTTTTCAGAAAGATTGAATCTGATCCATCGGAGTAAGATTTCGAGATCCTAAATTAACAACGATTATCAAATCTTCTTTGTTTGCCGATTTAGATCTGCTGGAAATATGACAGATACGGCTGACCATGGGAACACAACTGAGACGGTTCGTATTGTTCGACGAAGGAAATTCGGACGAAAACGTCGATCAGTTTATGTGAAATGTCGAGCAGCGAATAAAAGCGGAACGAATACTGAAAATCATCACACAGACGAGCATTCTCAAGAGTATATTTCTCGTCGACGAGATTCTCTAGTTAATGAATCAACGAAAGATGCAACCGAAGATGATGATGGCGACGAAGAAAAAGAAAAGGAAGAAGAAGAAGAAGAAAAAATAAGAAGTCCGATTACACCTAAATCTCCCTCAAAACAGCCTACATTTAAACAATTGACAATGGATCAATTTCTGAAAAAACTCCCAGAAACTTCATCCAAAACTGAACAACCCAAGTCAGAGAAAATATTTGATCTAAGTCCCACGACAAACGATAATGAAGAAACCCATGTAAATGTCCAGACTGATAACAATGAAGAATTTCGATTACCACGACGAACAAAACGTTTATCGAATACACCCCATGTATCAAAATCTGAAACTGATTTAACCAAAATAGCCAATGGAACAACAATTAGCGAAACATTGAAAAAATCCATTCGTAAGTATCAGTTTTCGTTCTAGTCTGCCTATTTGAGAGTTCTCCAGGACTTTGAAATCGTTTCGGTTAGTTTCCGGTAGTATGGAAAGATGAGCGTGACAACGACTTTTACTTTAGTTACAGTTACACATACACGAAAGGTTATCATTTGTTAATAAATTGCACGCACAAGGCAAAGCGAGCGATTTGATCTTGTTGTTTATTTGAGATCAATGAATCTATGCATGTCGATCAATTATTTTAGCTTATAATCAAGATTTCTTATTGAGACAAATCAGTGATGGAACTGAAAAGTCCAACGATAGTTCACCAGCTCCGGTTAATTCGCCGTTACCATTTAAAAAACGTGCTTGGACTTCATCCAATGTTCAAGCATTGATCGATCCGACTATTTCTTCTTCATCATTTACAAAGGTTGAATCATGTTCATGTGATGAAATGAAATCTTGACATTGAATTCTGTTTAGAAAAATGATCCACCAAATTTAAGCCGTGAAACAAGCTTAACAACACCGTCATCGACACCCGATGCTCTTGCAAATCCGTTACTAACATCGTCATCATCAATCAATAGTACTGATGAAGACACCAAAATTGCTCGTATAGAATCTCAATTAAAAACAACAGTAGAAGCAGTGAAAGAGGTTGATGCAGTAGACGATCAACCACCTAGTCTAACATCACCAACATCGATGATTGTTTCCCAATCCAATCATTACAATTATTCTACAAGAAGTAGTGTAGCAAGACAACAACAACAACAACTACATCAACAGCAACAGCAACAACCAATGGCATTGAATAGTTTCGATAGTTCAACAAATATGAATTACAATTTCGGGCAAGCTATGTATCCGTATCCATATCCATCGGTGCCACCGATAGATATGTCGCCATATTATTGTTCACCATCAGGTATTCCAATGAACTATATGTCTTACTATCCGACATCGTCACCTCCTATGTATCCTACAAATCAACAAATGTGTTATTCACCGAATGGAATTAATTCACACCCGTATACTGGTAATTCAACAACACCAACAACACCCTACAATTATCCAACACCTCAATCATCGTCAAATCGACGACGCTAGACACTAATTCACAAATCAATCGTAGTAACCAGTTCGGTCAGATAAGACGATGAATGAGCATTTGTGTACGTCTATATTTGAAACAAAAAAAAAGGCACACATACACCAGCCCATCCACAAAAAAATTGTTTCTATTTTATGCTGTCTTGTATTTTGTTCTTTTGTTTTTGCAATAATATATATATATATGTATTGTATGTATACGAGAGGAAAACAATAGAAAGGCGAGAAATCTTATGCTTGAATTGCTGTTTGTGCATTTGGTCTTGTTTTTTGTTTTGTTGAATTTTTATGTACATAGTGGTTTTTTTTGTCATGTGAAACAGTGTTTTCTTCTCTAACTCTTTCTTTTGGCGTATCCTTCTGATTCTATTAAACAAAGAAACAACTGTATTGCTCAGTCAGCAATATTAGACGACATTCTGTACATATTCGATGCATCAGATCAAAACAACATTTCAATTGTAATTCAAAGTATTGAAGCGAAGTTTTATTCATCACAAACAGTAGATTTCTTCGAAGGATCTTATCGTCAGTACGATTTCAATTGTTGCTACAAAAGTATTGCTGGATTTTGCTTTACATTTAATGGCAGATCAATTTCTCGTTCTTCTGTGTAACCGTTTCTCCAAAGGTTTAGCAGCGAAAGTTTCTATGCAAAATAGTTACAAAATATGATAAGAAAACAATTATAAGTGAATGTCACCTCATTTCCAATAGCAACAGAGACAAGCTCGGTGACTTCTGGAAGATTAATTTCATTGCTGGCAAGATTCAACGCAGTCAGTGTCTGTATAAAATAATCAGTCAATTATTCGGTTAGATATAGCTAGGATCTTACTTTGTTGTGTTTCAAAACCTCGATAAAATGCTTTGCTCCTTCACTGTCGATCTTATTGTGAGATAGATTTAATGATGCAAGTGTCTTTTTAATATGCAAGGATGATAATGAAACATCTAGACAGAGATCATACCTGATTTGTTAGTAGAGTCTTAGCAAAACATGCTACTGCTCTAGAACCAATGTGATTATGTGAAAGACAGAGAGTTGTTAGTGTCTTGAAGGAAGGAAGTGATTCAATTCGAGATTGAGATTTCAAATTTCGTACTTGATTGTTTTCGAGAACTTGAGCGAAATATTCAAGGCCTTGACAGCCAACATAATTACCTCGAAGAAATAATGAAGTGAGTGTCTATAAAACAACTGTTACCAGTTATCATTAGATAATATGAAATATTACATTGTTTTGCTGTAAAGCATTGGCAAGATAAGACGCGCCTGATGAGTAGATATCATTGAATCGAATAGATAGTGTAGTCAATGTCTGTGTCAAACGATTATTGAAACATATCAAAGAACAATGAAGTCTTACGTTGTTTTGTTGTAATGCACTAGCAAGATATTGAGCACCTCGGTCACCGATGTGATTGTAATCAAGATTCAGCGTCGTCAGCGTCTAAAGGGTAGAAATATAGCCACTATAGTTCTATCAAGTTAGTCGTTTTGCCTCATTGTTTTGAATACCATTGGAAAGATGCTTTGCACCCAATGCAGTTATTTGGTTGCAGCCAAGTTCCAGGCTAACAAGTGTCTGAACGAAAAACTGAACGTGAGAAAAAGAATCGACAAGTTCAGATTGATTGTTACGTTGTTTCTTAGAAGAAGATTGGAAAGAAATTTCGTTCCTCGGCCATCGGGAAGTTGACTGTAAAGATTCAATGTTTTATTTTCCTAGATAAGTCAAAAACTAGTCTATATGCTCGTAGTAAACAGATAATCTTCAGATCATGTACGATATTTACTATATATTGGTAATAACTGTAAATAATCGTATTAAGACGTGTGCAGACTTCATGCATAGAGAAGATAATGTCTCTGAGATCCAATTGATCAAGAATACGATAGATAATTTCAACTGGTACAGTGTTAAGTGATGGGATCGTTTCGATCGGCATTGGAACAGTTTGGTTGTGTCTTTCTTAGCGACGTGTTAGAGTTGAGTGGCGCAATGATTTACTTTAATAAAAGGAAAAAGGTAGACCAGTATGAGTAATGCAATGTTGGTGATTCATGAAAGTGACGAATATTTGCCGGTAGCGTGTCAAATATACGTGTTACCTTTTCAAATCCATCTTTTAGTGTTATATAATGCGAAATGAATATGGAGATAATTGTTTATTGAGGAAAAATCAGTTAAGCAAAAAAGAAGGCTAGAATTTGTTCACAATTGTGTCGAAGAACAAAAGGTATAAAAGCACAAGATACTAAGCATCCACGAAATGTATATGATATTGCACTGTTGATTGGTGGCCAAACTTTTATTTGTTTCGTAACAATCAAGCATTTGAGTCGTCAACTTGCGAATGGTTTGTCTCAATTGCATTGCTTCACTGTCTGATCTTGTAACGTCGCCATTGGTTAATATAACCACGCCTAAATCTCTCTTTTCATTTGCCATCATCGACGTAGTGATTCCAGGCACAGACCCATCGTGTCCAACCAGACGTCGTCCTTCAAAAAGTGGCCAATGCCAAATCAGACTGAATTTAGTTGTCGAAATGTTCATATAGTCTTGCTGAGGAAAAATATATAACATTTCATTCATTGTACTTGAATTGCGCAGAAGATTTGGAAAATTATTCAGAAAAGATCGAAAGAATATACTCAATGAATGAGCTGACATATGTAACGCTCCAGCTGGATATATACTCAATCCAAAGAATGGTATATACAACCAATCAGAGCTTCCTGCCTAGAAAACGATGTATAATGTCATATCAACAAATTATACTTGTCCTTTACCTGAGTAATGTTCATTTGTGGACCCATTTGTTGGAAAGTTTCAAGGAATGAAGCATTGTGCACATAATGATCAACGAGATTTTCCTTGTTATCTTCGAAGTTTTTCAAACGGAAACTAGCTTTCTTGTCATTCAAACCTAGCGGTTTCAAGATTTTTTCAAGCACATACTGTTCATATGACATGCCCGAAACACGTTCGACGATGAATGCTGCTAGACTAGTACCCACATTCGAGTAGAGTGTGATATTTCCAGGTGGAATTGATAGCCAGCCCTTTTTGCGGCTTAAATAATCATTGAGGACGTTACCCAGATTAGTTTGTGTAAATCTATCACCAGAAAGATAATGTTTGGACTCTTCTTCCCAATTTGGTCCAATACCAGCGGTGTGTGTGAGCAGATGTCGAGTCGTGATTGTTACATTTGGGTGATATGGATGAATAATTTTCATTAACGGGGATAAATACTCGTTGATATCCGTGTCCAGATTCAGCAGATTGGATTCAACCATTTGCATCGCTGCTACAGAAATGAATGTTTTGGAAATGGATGCTATCATAAAAATTGATTGCGAAGTATCGATAGGTCGGCGTGAATCTGATATTGGAGGAGTGTGGTATCCGAATGCTTGTTCGTAAAGAATGCCATCTCGATTGAGAACAATAATAGCAGCTCCGGGAACATTCACCTCATCGAGTAGGTTTTGTATCGATCCTTTTGTTGGAGGGCATTCAGCTGTCGTTAGATAGGCTTGTGCTAAAATCGTAATTGATAGGAGTAAAACCGTCCTCATTGTGAAGTCAATGTACTGAATTTGTTTTTATGTCCTATTTTTTCTTTCTGTATATATACATTGACAAAACTGAGTAACTTTAGATAAAAATAAAACTTAATCTTGTTGATGTCGTCATCTGATTATCAATGATTCATGTTTGATAAAAATCATTTAAGTAAATTACAACCGCTTCATTGTTCTATTTTTCAGGGATTACGATATAAAAGTATGCAAATAGAAAGAGAAGATTGAGACATAGCGAAATCCTAGATTTGCAACCGATATCGATGTCCTCATATAGATGAAAATATATGCATTAGATTTCGTCAAATATTGAACAACATATAAACTATTGACGTCAAGACGGAGAAAATTCGTAGTCGAAAACTTTGTGCCTGCATGCGTCCAATGGTTCAAAGGTGAAAGAAATGAACTGGTGGTTACATAGTAAACGCCTAAACCACTCCATGTTTGCATAACGAGATGATTACTGTGATCAAAACCAACATCGGTGTTCACCAACCACTGCCTACTAAAGCAAAACGAAGCTAAATAGATTGTAACCGACAAGAGAAGATTGCCGCAATTAACGTGCCGTTAGTGAGCAATGAATACATCCACATGGAAAATGAGTATGGACAATTTAGTTAACCGAGAAAATAGAAGTCAAATGTTTGACGAAAATCGTCTGATTCAAATACACTAATAAATATATTGTTGAATTTATTTTGTTAGGTGGAGCACTAATCCGTATTTCACTTGTATTACTTTGAACTACTTCTGATGCGAACAGAATAGCATCAAGTTTGCCACTAAGGTAAAAGCTTTGCGTTAACACTGCTCGATCATACACAGAAATGCGACATAGTGTCATATATTTCGAATCAAACTTGAATTTCTGAACAAATTACTCATCGAAAACGAAGCAAAGAATCTACCATATCTTATAGAGATGTAGAAGTCCTTGCTAATAGTTTGATTTCCACAATACGTAAACTAATTGAATTCTGATGTATTTACTTGATTGTTTGTCTGGAACGTAATCTATGCTGACAAGGGAAAGCTCGTATCTATTAGTTTGAGTGGATACGGCATGAGAACATAAGATTGACAGGTGAAATACGTCGATATATTGTAATCAGATTGATGTAATGCAATAAATTGAATACTTCCATTCTGTGATATTTCATTATAAACACTCAATGTGTCATTGAGACTTTCTTTGAACAGACATTAAATGATTGTTGGAGGATCTGTGTTATCTAATCGCCAATGAAATGATCGAACAGTGATCTTGTAGGTATTGATTGAAATGATTAACTCACTTGGATTCGCTGGTTGAAATTGTTTATCCTAATCACTGATGTGTATATTTAAGAGAATAGTTAATTTATTTGTGCAAGATCTAAAGGAAATTAGTGCGAATAAGATCAGCAATTGTATATTCAACATCGTTGTTTAATTATGAATTATCGATAAAATGTCTTTGTATATTAGACATACAATGCATTCGAATGCGGTTCGCTTCTTTTCATCATCGCCTACTTTTCCATCAACGTAAATAATTGATTTTCCCCATCCGCAAGTCAACACAGATCGTAGATAAAAGTAGAAATCCAATATTCATTAGAGATCACTTGATATGTTCGAAAGATATCGACACAGAAAAATAGTCAGCTATCAAATATTCACTGTATATTCTTTTGAAATGTACAAGAACTATATGGAATAATACGAAAATAGAGTCATTTATTAATGAATAGAAAACCAACACTGATCTTGAAAGATTTTGTTTCACAGTTTTCTATTTCTACTTTTAATCGTATTACATATATGTTCGAATGAGATCGCCTTCGTATGATCGTCGTATCAGTTTAACAATTGTTCTGTTTTTCATTTGGAAATTATCGAATATGTTCTCGATGTCTTCTAATAGGACTCCTCGTGTTTCTGGACAGCATAGATAAACGAATAGAACAGCTATAAGAGTGAATCCACTGAAGAGATAGAATACACCGTGAATACCTAATGGACTGATCAATTCGAGAATATAGGCCATAATTATACCGATTAACCAGTTACTGCCTGTTGACATCGCAACAGCTTTGGTTCGAACATTCAATGGGAAAATTTCCGCAGCATAAATCCAAGCAATAGGTCCCCAAGATACGGCGAAAAATGCCACGAAAATAACTGTGAAGATCAACATTAGAATTCCTGCACTCGGTTGACATGTAACAATTTCTTCGCTGTCTGTAGTAACGTTGTTCATTACTTTCACAACACTACAACCGATCACGAATACGCTGGCAGCAACTAAATGACCTAGAACCATACCTAAACCACCGACTATCAAAAGGATGCGTCGACCCAATCGATCGAACAGAAATAGAGCTGGTATAGTACTTAACATATTAATCCCGGATAAGATGAGTAAGGATATAATACCTTTTCCGAGAACATTTTCGTAAATGATTCCACCAAATGTAAAAATAGGATTGATACCTGTTGTTTGTTGAAAGATATGCATGCCGATTCCGACAGCTAATCTTTCGACCATTTTCTTGCTTGTGAATAATTCTTTAAGAGACACTTGATTACCTTCTTCTCGAATAGCGTCAGCAATCGCATCTAATTCTGTTGTTACGTCATCTGTTTTGCGAATTCGTTGCAAACTTCTCTTTGCAGCTTCACGGCCCTTATTTTTAAATAACCACCGTGGTGTTTCAGGGCACATATAGATCCCAATGATGATAATTAATGGTGCAATAAGAATAATTCCATTCGATAATCTCCAACCCCATTTATGACTTTGTAGGAAATAATTAACAACATTAGCAGCAAACAAACCGGTAACAACAGTCATTTGCATAAAGCCTGAAAGCATACCGCGAAGATGCGTTGGAGCGATTTCTGATGCGTACAATGGACAAGAAAATGATGAACAACCTACGCCTGCCCCTTCAATAATCCGACCGACAAGAATTAAAATCATGATCTTTTTCGAACCACCCGGTGGAAATATAACTAATGATGTTCCAACTGTAAACAGAATTGCTGATGTGAGAATGATTGCCCGTCTTCCGAATCTGTCGGCGACAAAAGAAGAAATAAATAAGGCACCTACAAAACATCCTACGTTGTATAGTAATGTAAATAGTACTAAATATCGGCGATAATCGGACGGCAATGACGCGACTGGTAAATCACAAACACTTGCATTCCCGTATATACCAACACAAAAGTCATTTTTAAACGAGGGCATGACGACGATTCCGCCAGTTACACCTTGATCATATCCAAAAAACCACCCACCTAGCGAAGAAAATCCTGCCAATAGTACAGCGAAATATGTTTTGCCATGCTGTATATTCTTATGTTGTTGATGGATTTCGTTTACTGTGGCGATTGTCATTGATTTTCTTTACATCGAATCACTTTGAGAAAGTCTATGTGACCAACAATTAAAGCACAGATCGTTTTTCTTTGATACTTCGCCCTACGACGTAAACATTTGTATTAGTGCTAACGTAAAAGATCATGTTTATCTTCTTGCCATTATGATGATATATTCATTGGTCTGACTTTTAAATGGAATGTTAAATATTAGGAATAATGCCATGACTTATTCAACGGTTGCAAAGAAGCGTCTAATTCGCGAATTAGAATTTAAAAGAGCTACTTTCCCAATCATGTAAACATATGAAATCGAGCCAAACGACAGTGGGAGTTCATCCACCGATGGAAATGAGAAAAATATTTGTCGATGACTTTGTTCTCTGGATGACTATTTGCTACAGTTTAGCACTTTATGGCATGCCCGGTACGAAATTTCACCTTTAAAAGTATGAAGAGAAATAATTATCGATTAAGAGGATGTCATCATTCTCATTCACACTTATATCAGCGAGAAGAGCTGCGAAAACTAATATGTGACTAATACTTTACTCATGTTTATTTCTTCGCACTGTATGTATCACCAAAGAACTGTTCATTTCGTTTATACATTTTTTTGCATTTCAAATCGTCACTGTTCTTTTTTAATAAGTCGATCCAATCCATTCCAATTTCCATTGTTGACAATCACTATTTGACCAAGACCATTGCAGAACTGTGGTACCAATACTCGTGGAACACATTTGTACTTCAATGCATTGATTTAGTGCATGCTTTGGCGTGATACGATAGTAACCATTCGGAAGAAGTTCAAATGTCCACTTTTGACAATCAGAATTTGTCCAGTCATATATCTGTAGTGCGCCTCCATCATCTGTGTTACAACCGTGGACGGTCAACACTCGACCGAAAGCACGATTCTTTATAGCATAGAAATTACCATCGAGAGGTTGAAATATCCATTGTTGATTGGCACTGCCCCAATATTGTTCTTGACTGACAAACGCATTATTCTGATTACTAGATGCATAAAGACCAGCATGAGCGGCGAATTTCGGCGTTATTCGATAAAGTCCTTCAGTAATAGAATTAGTTTCATTTCTCAACCGAATAATACTGATTTTGTCCGTTGAGTTAAGAGTAACTTGATTGTTAGTAATAGGAAGATAGAAGATGTTTAAATCTGCGTTGTTGTCGAAAGTGTACAGTGTAGCATTGGATAGTTTATAATCACCTTGTAATGTAAGTTGAACCTGTTGCGACGGTGGATACAGGTCAACTTTCCGTGACACATCCCAACTCGATACTTCTGTCCATACCATCAAGTAAAAGTCGCCATTGCGTTTTTGAAAAAGAATTTGTCGAACATTATTTAAACTACCAGTCAATGTATAACTCAGTGCTTTTGGCGTAAAACTTGATCCTTTATCACTTAATATCGCGATTAAGTGTTTCACTGCTCGAAATGCTGGTTTTTCGGATAAATCATTGCGTAATAGACCAAAGAATCCTTCTCTATCCGGCAGAGCTTGATCAACAAGTTCATATTTGTAAGTGCGATAAATACCATGACGGTAAAATTCAGCAAATATACGAGCCATATATTTGCCGTCAGCTTCTTC